TTAGAAGGCAGTGGGTCCATCCCCAGGACTTTATGGAGCTGACCAAAAGCAGCAAGTCGAAGCGCATGCTGGAGAAGGGGAAGAGAAGATTGACTCGGCTGCCCTGTGCTCATCACCCAGTGGTGTGTGTTCGCTAATGCCTTCTGAGCAGGGGCAGGAGCTGAGGAGCTTGCTAGTGGTCTCCCCTACAACAGCAAGGGGTCCCCCAACAGCCAGGGATAGCCTGACTGCTGGGCACAGCCTTGCTGTGGTGGAAGGCCAGCTCGTGACCACCCCCCCTGAAAGGAATACAGGAGACTCCAACCTGGGGACTGGTTGCCACACGGGGCCACGTGGTGGGCCTGCAGGGGAAGGACCCCCGAGCAGTCCATACAACAAGCACATCTCCTCACTGAACTCGGTGTCGAGAACTGTACTCGAGCAGACCGAGGGGCAGACACCACCACGCACGGCACCCGGGGAGGAAGCAGCCCAGATTGGGGCGGCCTGTATCAGACACTGTGCCTTCTGTCCCCGACCTGAGCCTAACACGTTCAGTGGCTACCCTGAGAATACCCAGTAATGGAACTGGAAGCCAGTGATTAAAGACTGGGTAAGGGCTCACGTCGGCAACGGCGATGACTATACCTGCGCACTCTGTGTGATATCTTCCCGTTGCTGTCTGTCTAGATGCCCAATAGCATCAGTGGCTTCTTTTTCACAAGGGTCATAAATGCCAGAACCATCTGAAGGCAGGAAACAAGGAAGATATGCAGAGGATTATCCTTTAGCATCTCTGAAGAGTTGTGCTGGCTGAGGGAATCAAGTGCGTTACCCCCCACGCCCCATCCACACCCAGCTCTGGAAAACACGCCGAGCTGGGTGACCCACTCAGCGTCCAGCCCTTGAGAGAAATAATCCACATGAATCTCAGAGCAAGAAAGTCACGTGGGAGTGGGTCACCGCTGCCCCTGGATCCGCCCTCTAAATGACAGCTGCGGACCCGGCACAGGGCTGGATATGATGGTGCAAGAGGGTAGTCACATGCTTCAGCCCTAGGGGGTGGACACGGAGCTGCTGCTGCCCTAACCCAGTCAGTGGACCAGTGAGACTGGCCTCAGGGCCTCAAGCCTGTCCTTTCCCTGCAACTGGCAAAGCAGAAGGCCCCAACCTGGCATTACGATTCCCGACGCCAGGCACTCCAGCACTCTCCTAAGGGCCTCGCCGGCACCCATGGGTCTGTTAGCTGTGCCGATGGATTTCTCACAGAGAAGCTCGAGAGGCTGGAAGGCAAGAGAAACAGTTAGCTATACTTGGAGGACACGGTGGACCAAGACTGAAGAGCTTATCAGGGAAAGGACAGAGGATCTTCTAGCGGGGGTCAGCCAACCTTTCCTTAAAAGGCCGTCTGACACTAAATATTATAGGCCAGAAGGTCAAAATGATGTATATATTATGTAAATACTTTTATTACAAATTTAACCATTTAGAAATATGCAAAAAGCATTCTTAGTTACAGACTGTAAAAACAATTAGATGGCCAAAAGTGGCCCCTAACCCATTAAGGTGCTGAGCCCTTTCTAAGAGTAACCACTTATTTTCTTCAGGGGGTAGAGCACATGGTGCCAGACCTGGTGCCAGCTGGCCTCGCGCAGACTGAGCTAGGCATCGTGCAGGGGGGCCCCTACCTACATGTTCTAGTCACTCAGTGTGCAGTAAGCAGCTGACAGTGACGCTCCTCACACCCCAAAGGGTCTGCTCCTGCCCAAGCCCCATCAAGTGTTCCAGGGATAGCTCCCCACTGCCAGCTCTGCACTTGTTAATTACCCCCAAATGGCAAGAGTCCTTACCCATCCTCTGAGGGGACCCCAGGTGGGCACACGGGTGCACAGGTCTCTCAGAACCCGGATGACAATGACACAGGATTTCAGTCCATTAGCTCTAGCCTAGAGGAACAGAATACAGGTTCTTTACAGAAGGGCACCTCCCTAACTGCACAGCAAACAGGAAAAACAAGTCTCCCGGTGCTACTTTGTCAAGGGTAAATAGCAAATTCTCCCAACTATCAAGTGTGTGGTGAGTGGCGACCTCACCACGTGTATAAGAATATGATGACTCTTAACACAAAGCAGCAGCGGCCTGCAGTCCCGAGCTCCTCTGGGGACATCAGATTTGTGTATGTGTGCGCCTTTAGCAACTGCACGGCCACAGGTGCTAAGTGTGGCACAGGTATCTTCAATGGTAAAGGAACTTTATGACAAAAATTAGCCAAGTTAAAACTTAGGAATGTTCTACCAAAAGACAAATAGAAGAACAAAATGCAAACCTGGAACCACTTGGCGTGTCGGAGGGACGCCAAGGCAGCAAGGCATTTCTGCCTGTCCAGAACGTCCGGGGGATCGTTGACTGATAGCGTTTCTATTCATGGATGGAATAAGAAGACAAGGTACAGTTTGACCAAGGGGTTTCTGTCATGTGGGAAGGGGATGTGGCAGTTTCCTAAAGGGCAGCTGAGGTTCCTAAAGAGTTCATCTCCACCCTTGACCAGGGAAAGAGAAGCTAGAATGGATTTGACTCTCCCCTGAGAAGAAATCTTAAAAATTGGAGGCCTCTCCAAAATGGCTTTTGTTTAAAAAAACAAAAAAACACAAAAAAAAACCACAACAAAAAAACCCATACACAACCACCAAAAACCCAAACACAAAACAATCAAAATATAGAAAAAGGAAAAATTGGAAACAAAAACAAAAGTCAAAAAGTGGAAAATTACTCTAAAAGGAAGCTACTCGTGGGGGAGAGGCCAGATAGGCAAATCCTATCTTACAAGAGACTGACTTCATGCCTCCCCACATTCTCCCAATAAACTGGCTGGGCTGAAAATGTCAATGGGGGGAAAAAAATCCGTGGGGAGAGTGGAAAGAAACCCCCACTGTTTCCCACCACAGCCATACCATAAGGTATCTGCAGCAAAGGGGCCACCTCCGCCCACAGGCTTGACTGCCCTAGCCCCCAGCCCTTGACAGAGAGAGTCCTGTTGGTCAAAGGTCCAGAGTCCCTACGTGGCTAAGCTAGAAGGGCTTTGAGAGTTGTCATCAGGTGCCAGAATCACGGGCAATCAACAAACAGCAACATGGGCTCAGCCAGCGAGTGTTGCCACAGAACCAGAGCGTGGGCCTCTCCTGTCCTCGGTCAGGGGCTCCGAGCGGGCCTGGCGCCGTCACCCTCCAGTGTGAGACTTGCAAGGGAGGGAAATATTCACAGGAGGATTCTGAACCGTGAAAGCATTATCAGTCTCTCACACTCAAAAGTGGTTTTTTTTTCTTTTTCTTTTTTGGAAAATGTACAAGTGCTTCAAAGTTTAGCCAAAATTCTGTATCAGTTCTTTGTATCTCAATCCCTGTCGCTGATAAAAGTGGCCAATGGGAGAGGACAAAAGAAGCCGCCCTTGGATCTGCAGCAACACATGCTGCTGGCACAATGCCAACGTAATTCATGCAGAACCATGTGGTGATGTCTAGTATTTAAATAAACACACCAGGGACACACTTTCCAAGGCCGGAGAATGGCTCAACAGAACAAGTGCAACCTTATTATGTGAACATTTAGAATTAGGATAAATAAAAGACGTGGTGCAATTGCCTATAGAAGTGCTACTCACTTTAGTTCAACCATGCTGCCAACTCTCTAGTACTCACACCCAACAGAGATGTGCTCTAGAGTCATGGTGCAGAAAGCGACACCTCTGGGCAAGGCAGTCGAAAACGGAATAGCACGTATAAACAGAGAGCAAACACTACGCTTCTAGAGCCGTGCTGGCCTGGCTTGGCCTCCCTACCTCCAGCTACTACTTTCTCCATTTCTTCTCGGACAACAGGGGATGTCAGGTGGATGGTCAGGGACAAGGGAGGCTCCTTCGTGTTTTTTATCACAATTGCAGCATCATCAACAGATTGTAGTATTTCATATTTGTCTTCTGTTACAGCCTGAAAGAGAAAAAGGCAACTTTCAAAAACACCTTCTCTTTGGGAAAAGCAGCAATTCATTTTCTATTCACCAGTTAATACAGCCAGGAATTTCTCTTTCTAGCCAGGAGTCTGGGTCTTTATGGGACATCACAGAGCAAGTAATGACACAGAGAAGGGATTTCCACGGGGAGCTGACACAATTATCTACAGGCTGCAGTATTTCATACTCCAAAATCACGCAGATAAGTGATTTGGGCTTGGTTTTGGACATATCACTTATCTCCTGAAGCTTGAGGTTTCTAATTTACGCAACAGCGGTGAGGAGACGAACACATACGATGGGGGAAGGGCACTGCCCCCCCATGAGAGCAGCCAAGGCCACGTCCACACTCGCTCGAGTGGTCATCAGAGTGTGGAATGAAAATAAGCGGCACGAGACAGTTTCTATCACGTGATGGCTAGAAAAGAGCATGTATTCTAATGGTCGTGAGAAATCGAGAGAACGAGTGTGGCGACAACTGCCCAACAGGAAGATGGTAAGCAGAGTCACGGAATTATACCTTCAGCCACTGCTGATCCTGAAAACTGTCACAGGTATTTCCCCAACAATTAACAAAATCACGATCTGCTGCATTAATGAAGGATGTTCATGTTCACCAGTCTGATTTTCACTTTCTTTAGTACATCTCACTAGACCAAGATAGTGTAAGCATTTTCCCCCCAAAGGGAAACAACTATCCTACAGGCTTACAGAAAATTTGCAAACAAGCTTCTGAAAAATCTAAATGTGTACTCCCCAAGCTAAGCATGACTAATATCGTGGCCTGGATGGTTCCCTGTGGCGGGGCTACTGGCGCCCTGCAGGATACTCGGCAGTACCTTGAGCCTCCACCCACTTAAAACGCCAGCAGCTCGTTCTCAAAATCTCTCTGGACAGCAAAATGTTTATGGCAACTAGTTTCCTTTTTCTATTAGAGGATAAAACGAATTTAAAAATTATTTTCCCTACCTTCCCTCTGTAACTTGATTTGTGCCACTGTTAGAACCTCTACTTGGAATATTATTGCTTTTGATTTTTGACTCATACACTTTTAACCTGTTAGTTAAATTTGTGTCTTCTACGCTGCAACAGTTCCATGATACATCTTCAAGGATATGAACATGTACGGCTAAGCACAATTGATAACAGTGCATCTAAATTCCAAAATCAATCTCCATAATAGTCTACGTGTTTCCTATTGCCAAAGGGGCCCTTTAGAGTAGTGGGAGAAGATCTTTACCCTGAAACCTACAGCGTCCCAAGTAGGAAGTAGCTAAGAGAATACACCATCCCCTTTTCCTTATGAATCAGGGTGAAGTCTCTCTCAGGGAGGAGTGACAGGGAATGGAATGGACACAGTGACAAAGGAGATTGATTAATCAGAACTGGATTTGACAAGCACTGTGGCAATGGGGTAATTAAAAGACTTTCAAGGGGGGGGGAAAAAGAGGAACGAACTGGGGGTGAGGGTAGAGAAAATAGTGCAACAATGAATGAATGGAAACCCAAAATCTCTGTAAATGTTCATTAAAATTAATAAAATTTAATAAAAATTTAAAAAAAAAAATTTCTGGTGAGCTCTGGTGGCCTAGTGGCAAGAAACTGCACTGCAATCCCAGAGGTGCAAGATTCTAATTCACCAGATGCTCTGCTGGAGGAGGGGCAATCTTCGCCTGTACCAGTCATATCCGATTTGATGGTACACACAAAAAAAATTAATAAAAAAATAATTTAAAAAAAATTATTTTCCACTAAAATAAAAACACCCTCAGACAAGCATATATATCGAGGGTCTCAACTTTTAAAACCTAAAACTTACTATTATAGAGTTAATCCTAACTCACAGAACCGCTACAGGAGAGTAAGGACTGCTCTGAACGGCTTCCGGGGAGAAAGGGTCATGGAGGCGGGCTGTCCCAACTTCTGCCTGCCAACGAGCACCTCGAGGGCCCCTACAAAGTCCCTGAAGTGTTCACTGTGCAAGTGGCAGAATGCACACACGTGCAGGGTTAACAGTGGTTTTTTGCTATAAATGAGTTTTATGACAATTTTTTACCCGTTTCTTTGCTTATCCTAAAGCTGGATCTGACCTGAAGACTGGTGAAGCAGTCCTGAAGTGGCAGCATGTAGCTGTGACTGGTGAAGACTCACCAAATGAGAACTCTGAAAACTGCTCCCTACCTCAGGCACACCCCCACCCCCAATGCTAAAACTAAGGCTGCTATGAGGATGACGGACACACACAGAGCACGTGGGCCTCGGATCTATGGAAGGAAATGCTCAATAACAGCACAGGCCAAGTCCACCCAGGGGGACCTCAGGAGGGCCTGGTGGTCTACTGCAGAAAACTCGGGAACCACAAACCCTCCGGAGTGGTTCGTTCCACTGACATACAGGGTCGCCAAGAGGCAGAACCAGCTCAACAGCAAGTGACTCACTCTGGACATGGTCCCAGTAAAACAAAAACCTGGCTTTTAAATATATTTTTGTTTTTCAAATCCAGGTTTGGATTAGTTCATCACTGTACTAGTATGTGAATTCATGTTCCATGAACTGTTCTTGGACATTCCCAGGACACTGCGGCCTGCGTGTTGACACAGATCACTACTGGCCGGCAGAGTGACTGGGTACCATCGTAGCCGCCCACCTTAGGTGCTCGAGGACCTTCTTGCCCATTCCCTAACGTGAAGGCAGCAGCACAGGCAGGGGAAGAGGTGGGTCTGGTGTCCTGTGGTGCAGGGCATTTCTTCCTCGGCCCAACGGCCTTGACAAGCAGACGTCCCTGCCCGTGGTCATACTCACAGTGAGCTGGATGGCTAGGTTGTCGGCCACCTTGTCCAGGAGGGCGGTGGTGGGCTTCTCCTTACATAACAGGACCAGCTCCAGGTCCAAGTCCCCCTTGAGCAGAAGGCCCTTTGCTACGAGGCCAACACGCATCACACCCCGCAGGGTTCTGGTCATGTGTTCTGTCTTCTGTTCCCTGTGGGACCGAAGCACACAGCACAGGGTCAATCAATCTGGCCAGAAGGCAACCCAGGAAAACCAATGCTGTAGAGAGGAGACACAGAAGCTATGAAACCTACCCAGCCCCCTCTTTGCTCTCATCCTCTGGGGGCGCATCCATGTTCTCAGACTCGGCATTTTCGTTGCTTCCTTTCTCCTGCTCATCGATCCAGTCAGACACTGCTTTGAGAGCTCTCTCAGTGTGTGACACCATGTTCTGAACAGCTTCTAGTTCCTCTTGGGTTGGATAAACGGAAGAATGTTTTGCCATCACATGGCGATCATCATTCACAAAAATTCGCACTGGACGCTGAAACAGGAAAGAGAAGTTAAAAATAGCTATAAAAGACCCACCATGTAAAAACTGCACAACTCAGAATTATGCTGAAAACACTACATATACACAACTAAGGATCTGAAGAATCAGACAACCAACCCACCAGGTGTTCCCTCTGGGCAGTGGGAGGGACGCAGCACTTACAGAATTTCTGAGTTCTTATATACACCCATTTCATAACTAAAGTTGGATGTAGGGGTAGCAGTTGTCTGAGGTGGGCCCAGGAGTGTGGGGTACACTGGGGTGTATGGCTCCAGAAGTGATGGTCTTCCCTCACAGTCCCTCCTCTCCTCCCCCCGCTTGGCTTGTCATGTGGCCACAGCCCTTAGAGCCACTGTTCTCCTCCCGAGGCTTTAAGTGTGCTCCCATGAGTCCACGGGGGACTGACAGCCTCGAGGAGGTAGGCTGGGCTCTGGGGAGAGGAAAGCCTAACGAAAGTGACAAGAGTGAAATGCTTTGGGGGAATACTACAAGCACCTCTGTGTATCAAGAAACAGCATCTGTGATTTAAAACAAAGAAACAGACAAATGAGTTTTCTTTCTTACCATTTTTACTTCTTTTCTGTAGTGTCTGGAAACCAAACTTTTGCTTATCTTTTCAAACTGTGACAGATTTCCTTGGTGTTATCAACACTTCAACTATCTATAAGACCAGAAAATCTTTTTAGTTTCAAGTATTTCAGAGACAGTATAATTTTAGCAACCAGTCAGCCAATAGTATGAATGAGAGCAGTGTTTTCACAAGAAGGTGCCCCACAATGCAGCAGGACACCTCATTTCCAAGTAACCATAATTAAGCCCAGGGATTGAACTAATTATAAAGCTCCCTGAAAATGAAACACTGAGTTTCTAAAAGCCAGCTCTGACTTCAAGCTGAACTTGAATGGTTTTTATGACTATTTTCTCAATTTTTTTCATCATTTCCTTATATGGAAAAATCGGCTTTTACAAACATAAATAAAGGTATTCACATCTCAAAAGAACGATGCAGCCGGAAATGCTCCTCAAAGTCTTGGTACCTAGAGAGGAAAGGTGCTCTCTGACCCTGAGGAAGGAAGACCTTCTAACAGGCTTCTAGAAAACGGAAAAAGATGCTTCCAACAAGCTTCCAGTCAACAGGTCAACCAGACACAGCCTGGCTCCAACCACAGCGAGGCTGAGACAACTGAAGATCACAGCACGCGGCTCTAGGACAATCACAGCTCTAACTGCAAATCTGGTCTCTAAATAACACGCTAACTACAACCCACTCAACTCTCATCCTGTGCAAACAATCTGGTCCAGACTGAGATCTTCCAAATGAGTAAAGGGGGTGGAGGGCGGGAGTGTATGTTGAGTGTGTGTGAGTGAGAGAGAGTGTGTGTGTGTGTGAGAGGTGGGGAGAGTGTGTGTGAAAGAGTGAGTGTGTGAGAGTGTGCGCGAGTGTGTGTGTGAGAGAGGGGGAGGGTGTGTGTGTGAGTGAGGAGGGGAGAGAATGTGTGTGAGAGAATGTGAGTGTGTGTGTGTGTGTGTTCAGCACAATACACATGGGTGAATGCAACCACTCCACACAAAAGCTAGTGCTGTCCATCTAGACATTCAGACCCACACTGAGAGCTCAATCCTGGAAAGGCACATACTTCAAGGATACCACTGTGAGATGACAAGCTAAAACAAGAATTTTCCACAATGTTTCAGCAGACCTACCTACCAATCCTAGGAGTAAATTTAAATGATTCAAAGTTGAACCCTAAAACTGAAGGGTGGAGTGGAGGTGACTGCCTGCAGAGCAAGGCAAAGGGCAGGCTGGGTAAGATCAGAGATTCCTGGCAGGGGAAGGAATGAGAAGGGCAGAGTGGAAAGCACTCTTGGCTCTGGTGCTGACCCCCCCCAAACAGTTGTGGGTCTGAAACCCTATTCATGAGTCAACGGCAGAGCTGCTCTGAACGTGTTTCCTTGGGCAGTGATCGAGTCCCCTGAATTTGTAGGGAGTTGTGAAAGTTAAACGAGCCAACCTGTGAAAGCACAGAGTGGACACCAGGGTGCAGTGAGGCCCAATTTATTAAGAAATAACCCAGCAAAACTGTATCTTGTATTAAGAATTATCATCCAGGCAGTTAGGAGCTGATAACATTATTGTTGGGGTGTTTTGTGAGTTATTTCCCTTCTTTGTAAAATAAATTGAAGGGGAGGAGATTGCCCATCTTTCTCCAATGGAGCAATTGATGGATTTGAACTGCCTGCTTTGGGGTGGCAGTGCAACTCCTTACGACCAAGACACCAGAGCTCCTATGGTTGTGCTGTGAAGGGTATCTATCTTTTAGACATCTACGTTGGTATTTATGACTGAATGTATATGCCTGCTATTTGCTCTATCACACTCCAGTGAGAGTCGAGAATGCAGAAGGGAAAGGTCTGCAACTGTAAAATGCGTGGCTGAGATGCTGGGTAAGGAATGTTCTGGGATTCATTGGTGCATCATTTAATTTTTTTTTCCTAATGCATTTGCAGATGCACAGTCACCACAGATAATCTAAACATTAAAGTTCAGGAAATCTCATTCTAAAGGGAAGAACAAGGGGCCCAGCCTGTTTCTAACTAGCACGGTTAATACCTATGAGCTCTATGGTCAGGAATCAGCTGTAGTGACAGTTACAAGTCCTGGGTTACAGTCACCAGCTTCACCCCTCCCTCTCAGTGCTGTAATCTCATCAATCTGATAATGAAAATTGATAGTTCGAATGCTATTTATTAATTCAACAAGTATTTAGTCCTTAACTCCTCTGTGCCAAGTACTGGGCTAGCTGTTGAGGACAGTGTTGAAAAAGCAGATAAATCCTGCTTCAAGGATGTGAACATGAAAATGAACCGAGGAAAAGTCTTCATTCTCTTCCAAGTGAAACACAGCACCATAGCCTAATGCTTTCTTTGTATACCAAGCTCCTAATCTCTAATTTCTCTCACTATAAATAGCAAATGGAGAGATGTTAAATAACATACAGGCTATCATGGATTACACTCTATCCCCTAAAAGTCCATGCTGAAGTCATGGTTCTTGAATCTGTGGATGTGAATCCACCAGAGAAAAAAAACAAAACTAAAAAGCCCCACATTCTCTTTTGTTATGTTAATGAGAAAACATTAGTGTAGGGTCACACACAGGCTCAGAGAAAAAAAACAAAAACCCAAAACCAAAAACACCAATCCTGATTTGGATTTGTAACTTTTAGAAGTATGAAAGAGGCCAAAAAAAAAAGTATGAAAGAATAAATTAGTTTTTTAGTTTTTATATGTTTTACAGCAACTCTAAGTAACAAGGTAACGAAGGTTAAACCAAGCTTCCAGAGTTTCTAATTAAAGGCTTTGTAGGATTTATATTTAAAACCCATTGGGAGTTTAAAACAAAAAGTTTTAAACAAACAAAAAAAAAACTTCAAAAATCTCTGAGAGAAATGTTTGATTAGACACTTAAAACTGAAGTAAATGCAGAGAGCCTCAGCTGTGTTGCGCACATACCCCCCCTTATTTAGAGGTCATTCCTTTCAAGCACTTAATTAAAGGTTAGCGCCTATGTCATTATTGTTAAAAAAAAATCAATGGAGGGTTACTATTTAGCGGTGGTGGGGAGACACACCAGACACCAACGAAGAAAGAAAAGCACCACAACACAGTCCAGGGAGAAGATAAGCAGAGAGGGAAGGGTGAAACTGCCACCAAGTCAATTCGGAAGGCTCCTGGCCTCCCATCTGTTTCAGAGGCCGTACTCCCCCATGGAGAGGAGACGCCCACCTTCCTCCAGAACTAGCTCTTCAATTAGCAGCACCACACCACCAGAGTTCTCTTTAAGAGTAAAAAGTCACAACTCACAAGGGGCCCCCCACTGGGTTTCCGAGGCAGGAGCTTGCTCAGCAGCAGACTGTCCATCTTCCTCTTCCTCCTTCATAACTACTAGAGGAGTCAAACACCCACAGGTACCATCTTTGCCTTAGGAGCTCAACTCCCTATGGACTAGGCCACTAGAGCTCCCAATCAGAGACAGGAAAAAGAAAGGGGGGAAGAGAACAGAATCCAGTGGTTTCCTTGGGGATGATGGTCAAGGTCTGAGTATTGACTGGTTAGGAGTGCACCTGCAGGGATCAATACTCATACTCAAGAGCTTCTTAAGAAACAAAAACTAGGCGCGCTCTGGTGGCCTAGTGGCAAGGACCTGCAACTACAATCCCAGAGGCGCACAGTTCGAATCCACCAGATGCTCTGCCGGGGAAGGAGGGGCAGTCTCCTCCTGTACCAGTCAGATCTGATTTGACCAGTACACTCACACAAAAATAATAATAATAATAATAATAATAATAATAATAATAATAATAATAAAAAAGAAACAAAAACTACAACCAATGTTGACTTCTAGTGAGATCTGGTGGCCTAGTGGTAAGAAACTGCGCTGCATCCTGAAGGCATGTGGTTTAAATCCACCAGCTGCTCTGTGGTCGAAAGATGGGCAATCTCCTCCTGTGTGATCAAACTAGGTCAGCTACCGGTCAGTTCCGACTCAATGGTCCATAACAATGTTGAACACTAGTTAATATTGAGGAGTCCCTGCTGGCACAAATGGTTAAGAACTAGATTATTTAGCCAAAAAGTAGGTGGTTCAAACCTACCCAGAGGTGCCTCGGAAGTCTGGTGATCTGCTTCCTTCTTTAAAAGAAGAAAGTGGAGGTGAGCCCTGGTGGCCCAGTGGCAAGAAGCTGCACTGCAATCCCAGAGGTGTGCGGTTCAAATCCACCAGATGCTTTGCTGGAGAAGGAGGAACCATCTCCTCCTGTACCAGTCAAATCTGATTTGAAGGTATACACACACACAAATGATAAAAAATTAAATTTTTTTTTTTCAAAAAAGTGGCACAGCAAAACTCAGCCACTGCAGAAGACCCCACGGACCAACTGGGCACGCAGGTTAACCATGACATGGAATGGATCCACAGGCCACAACTAACAGCAGGTAACAGTCGGAGGGAAGACTGCAACTTTCTGTTACTTTGAAGTATAAAAAGAAAATATGAAAAGTGTAGAAGTGTAGAAGGCAAAACTACAGGCAGTGAAAAAGATCATAGTGGCTACCCGGGGGAGCGACAAGTAGATGAACAGGAGGATACAGTGGCTACACAGAGGGATGATCGACTTCTCAGTAATGAGTCACTTAGAGTGTAAGAAGTTGTGCTGCCAACCCAGCTGTGGCAAGTGAGAAAGATGTAGAATCTCCTCCTATACGTTTTAGTCTCTGAAAACACACTGGAGAGTGTTAGCCACGAGTCACCCTGACCTCACCACTATCAGACCCAGTGTACATAAACTCTGAACCTTAGTTAACAAAACACATCAACAGTACTCTATCAACGACACAAATGCACTGCAGTAATAAAAACCAAACCCTCCGCTGTACAGCGGAACCCTTCCCGGGGCTTCCAAGAAGTAAAGATTATGGAAGAAAACTGCTCATCTTTCTACCAAGAAGCAGCTGGTGGATTCCAAGTGATGACCTTTAAGTTATCAGCCCAATACATAAAAGCACTGCACTACCAGAGCTCATTACCATA